ACTTCTCTATTATGGATTTTTCACTGGAAATAGCAGTACAGTATAGTTTCTGGGTTCAATTTGGCCTGGTGGCTCATGCCTGTAATCTCAGCACACAGGAGGCTGAGGCAGGACTGCCTTGAGTTCAAGGCCAGCCTGAACTACATAGCAAGACTTTGTCTCAACAACAAAAGATGTACACGCTACTTTCTTAACCAAGGATGGGGACATAGCTCAGTGGTATGGTGTCTGCCTAGCATGTGTGCAGCCCTGGGTTTGCTCTCCAGCACTGCAAAACACAAAATAAAAGAAAAACAAACAATAAAAAGGCCTGTATACACCTACCATGTGCTCAGTGGTGTTCTAGGTACTGAGGGTCTAGCAGTGAATGAGTCACAACAGGTCACAACTTCCTGTGTGTGTGGGGTACTTGCTCTCTCCCAGCTCTGACATCCTGAGGACACGCCCCACATACTCCCCAACAAGGTGCGAATCTGTGCACACACAGAGGCCACGGCCAAGCATCCCGTGTTCAGCCTCGCAGTCCCTTCCTCTCCGTGGAGCTGCTTCCCTCCCCAACTCAGCTCCGGGAAAACAGGGAAAGACCTGCTGTCATTTACTCTCTGTCTGCAACCCAAGATATAACTCTCCACGCATCTGTCATCTGAGACTTTTATCTCTTTTGTGGAATGAAAGGCTCTGCCTTGGAACTTGAGGCAATTACGAGACCTGGCAAGATATCTGGACAAAGTGAGGAGCTCTGGAAATGGACAGGTGGCCTTCTCTGAGCATGGTATTGTTTGGGTTTGCCGAAAGAGCAGGCTGTTTCTCCCTTCTGGATGTGAGGGTCTCCTGGTCCCACCTTCTTCCCCTCACAGAGGGAAAGGCCTTCAGCCTTAGGGTGCAAAGTTTTGACTGCTTCAGTGTCCAGCATCCTGAGTGGGAACAGGCAGTGCCACTGTGTATGGTGGGGATGCTACAGGCTGTAAGTAAACACATAAAGAAATGCACTGCTCAGGACCTGATTTCCAGCTCTAGACTCCTGTCAGGTAGGTGAGTTGCAGGTATGGGATGGAGCTAATAACACTCTAAAGTACATTAGGCAAAACTCTGGACTGTGAGGCTGGCATAGTGGCACCTGTTGCCCCAGGTGGGAGCCTGAGGCAGGAGAATCACTTGAACACAGGAGTTCAAGGCCAGTCTGAACAACATGGCAAGACCTTGCTATCAGGGGCTGGGGATTTAGCTCAGTGGCACAGTGCCTGCCTGGCAAGCTTGAGGTCGCGAGTTCAATTCCCAGTACCACAAAAACAAAAACAAAAACAAAAAGACCTTGCTATCCAACAAACAAGCAAACAAACAGGCCAGGCATAGTGGCACATTCCTATAATCCCAGCTACTTGGGAGGCTGAGGCAAGAAGATCATAAGCTTGAGGCCAGACTGGGCAACTCATCCTTTAAAAAATAAAAAGGGCTGGCCAGGTGTGGTGGTACATGACTATAATTCCAGTATTCGAGAGTTGAAGCAGGAGAATTGCAGCAAGTTCAAGGCTACACTGGACTACATAGTTCAAGGCCAGCCTGAACTGCATAGTGAGACCATATCTCAAAAATAAAGAGCTATCTCAAAAATAAGGGAGCCAGGTGTGGTGGTGCACACCTGTAATCCCAGCACTGAGGCTGAAGGATCATTGTTTGAGAACAGCCTGGGCTACAAAGAGAGCTCAACGCCAGCCTGAACTGCATAGTGAGACCCTGTCTCAAAAAGATAAAAATAAAAAAATAAAAAAAATAAAAGGGATGTTGTTCAATGGTAAATCTAGTGCCCTGGGTTTGATCCCCAGTGCCATAAAACAAACAAACAAACAAACTCAAAACTTGAGTGATAATATTGGATAATTAAATGGAAAGTCAAAAATTGAAATTTTTAACTACATAAAAGTAATGCCAGCTACTAAGGTTTACTATTTATGTCTCATTACCACGAGACAACACTTGTATGAAATTATGTCAGATTGACAAGAACAATTCCTTATTTTATGAGTGCATTTTAGTTACACAGAGTGATGGCTTCCTCTGGCATATCTGTATCTGTACATGCACTTTTTTTTTTTTCTTGGTACCTGAGAATCGAACTCAGGACCTTATACTTGCCAGGCAGGTGCTTATGCTACTGAGCTATATCCCTGGCCCTGTACATGCATACAATATATTTTGGCCACTTCTACCCCTACTTTTCCCCTTGTCCCTCCCTCCTCCAATTCCTTGTTCCTGGCAGACTCTTCTTTTGGGTTTTGTTCTATATGAGGAGACAGCTGCAGTGATGGCGAACCTTTTAGGGATTTCCACAGTAACAGCCTGACGTGGCATGGGTGCCACAGGTTCGCCACCACTGAAACAGGATTTGAAGACCAGCTTCTTTGTTAAATGGAACACTGTACTGATGCCTTTACCTTCTCAGTGAGACACATCACCTGTAAGACACAGCTTACCTCACCTGTAAGACACATTAAAATCAAGGGGTCAAACTGTACTGTTCTATGTGCGGAAGGTGCCATCACCAGCAGCTTCTGAGGCTTGCCAGCTGCACAGTCCTCGTCACCAGCTGCCAGCTGATCATCACTGGCTCTCCTTGCTCACGTGAGTGTCCTTAAGAATCCAGCTTCTGGTCCGGAGAGATAGCTCAGTGGTGTAACACCCTGCCTGGCAAGCGCAAGGTCCTGAGTTCGATTCCTGGATTCCTAGTACCAAAAAAAAAAAAAAAAGAATACAGCTTCCCCCCAAAACATCTAATGACACTTTCCCCTTACGAGGTTCTGCAGAAAGGAAGACGAAGCTGGTTCTTGGGCTCCTGAAGGAAGCCGCAGCCTCTCATTTGTGCTTGTGACCCCTGACAGCCAGGCCCTAGCTTGGCTTATTTTCTTCAGGTACTTAATTCATTTTGCTGATAGATAAAAGGCTTCCGGAGTTTGTTTTGTGTAAGGCTCTGGCTTGGGTTTGGTAAATACAACACTATGCTTCTACAAGAATCTCCCATTTGGAGCATGATTGACTTGAGTCCAAATCCAGCTGGACCAATCATAGCCGAGAAGCCTTGCTCCGAGCTTCAAGCTCTGTTCTCCCAGGGGGATTCTCTCTCTTGCAGCCTTATTGGAAGGATTATGATTAATGCCTGAGAGTGGCTGGCACACAGTAAGTGCAAAAGAGATGACAGACGAGCCACAGGGTCCATCTTAGAGCCCAAACATGGTATCAGGAGCTGAGGTGAGACACGATGACTAACAGGAAGGAGAGGGCAGGGAGGTGCCTTCTTCAAAAACCATCGAGGGTCTTGTACTTGGTAGCACACATGGAGCTGAATGATCAATGTGCAAGGCCCTCACTGAGAGTGTTTCAGAAAGCATTTGTGAGGGGGCTGGGGCTGGGGCTCAGTGGCAGAGTTCTTGCCTTGCACGCACAAAGCCCTGGGTTGGATCCCCAGCACCACCAAAACAGAAAGCATTTGTGTTGACCCCAAGTTCATCTATTTTTAAGGCGGGAGAAAGAAATGTCCAACTCAAAGAGAAAACATTCTTAAGTTCAAAGACAAAAGGGCAAAGATGAAGTTGCACTGTCAGTACTGCAGTTATACAAATGAAGTGACAGTGACTGCTTCTACGTTACCACTGGAAATCTGATTTAAAGGTTCACTGCAGTTCAGGCATTTTTAATGTTACCCTTGTTGATCATCAAGATGACTGGCGCTAGCAGTACTGGAGGCAACTGCTTTCATACACGCATCTTACTTGTTTTGGCCCAGCAGTATTACTATGGAAAAGGGGATTTGTAGGCTGCTACTTCTTGGGCTCTGACCTGTTTTCGAGTCACTAACAGTGAGCTGAATTATCAAGCAACCGTGATCGATCCCATGTCCCAGGATTTCCTTTGGCCTGAGCAATGTGACCATGACCAGGTCCTTATCTTCACAGGACGCGGACTTTACCAACTGAGTGAGGCCAGCCCTCTCCGTGAGGCAGCATGTGTTAAACATCTGAACTCTCCAGGTTAAGCCCAATTGCCACTGGGATTATACAGATTTATAATGAAGCAACTCTTAAGTAAATTCTTAGGGAGGACAAAGGCAGATGCTGTCTAAGGCAAAACTGCATACAACACAGTAAATGATTCTCTTAACTGTGCAGTGTGGACCTGGGGTCCCTCGAGGGAGAACAAAAAGTACCTGTTAACCTTTCAGATTTCCCCCATCCTAGCATACAAACCGATTCAGATACTGGTGAGACAGATCCTGACACTTCTGTAAAGACAAACTCTCTAAATAAAGCACATCTATCATGTGCTTAGGAGATATAATTTTTATAATCTTGTAGAAAATAATTTGACCTCTTCTCCCTATCCAAAATCCCTCACACTTTGAAAGGATGAAGACACCAATTTGGAGGTCTTTCAAAGGATTTATTTGCTACAGAATTGCTTGAGTCCACCAATGAGCTGAACAGTAGAATTCTGTGTGTAAAAGGATTTTGCTCACTGCTTTATTTTACAGCTGCTGCAACATGCAATGTTCAAAATGCAGGTTTTTTTTTTTTTTTTTTTTTTCTGTCCAGCATTTGGCATATCTAGAAGAGGTTAGAAAAAGAATCTATAGAATTAGATGTCTAAAAATGGGGAACAAAATAAACATTTAAAAATTCCTCATTTGGACAGGTCCTGAGTTGAAATTATGTATAAAAAGAAATGTTAGGTCAGAAATGTGTAACTATAGATCCTGACCTTGGATTTCACTGGTGAAAATTTCCAGGCATTGTATGAATGACAGAACATATACCAATCAGCTAGTCAATGTGTCTTACTTAGCTTGTGAAAAATGTGTAAGTAAATTTTTTTTGGCTGGGTGTGGTGCTGCATGCCTGTAATCTCAGCACTCCAGAGGCTGAGACAGGAGGATTGCAGTAAGTTCCAAGCCAGCCTGACCCTGTCTCAAAAGACACACACACACAAACATACACACACACACACACAAAAGAATTCTTTTTGTGGTGTTGGAAATTGAACCCAGGGCCTTAAGCATGCCATGCAAGCACTCTATTACTGAGCTACATAACCAGCCCAATAAATATCTCTTAAACCTAAGTTACCTAATTCTGTGAAACCAACTATCTTAACATGATTCCTAACACTTTCTCAGACAAATAAACAAAAACTTGCCCTGCAAGATCAGTACAGAGAAACCAAGCATGGAGGTAAACCAGCAGTTCAGCGTTGCAACTAGGACTCTCTGGGTGCCTTGTCAGCTCTGTACTGGCTGTGCCCAGTGGTGACCATCCAGGTGACGTCATCCTGAAGAGGGCGTGAACCCCAGCAGCTGTTCGATAGGTTTAAACCGCCATTCATCGGCCTCCAGCTCTTCCACCAAACCAGCGAGCTTTTCCATCCGAGCAACTTGCTGATCTGTGGAGTGAAGGAGGGGCGCTGATGCCACAGTGCATTTTCTGGGAGACTGTCACCCATCACTACCATGATGACAATTTAAAAATAATTTCTCGATGGATTTTCCCCCTCAGTAGCCTAGTAATAGCGTCTGTTGGTCAGCAGATTTTAACCTTTTTCTTTAAAGGAACATTCCTAATCATTCTCTATTTATCTTTACTGCTTGTTTTCTGCAGTCCTGGGGATCGAAGACAAGGGCCTTGCACGTGCTAGGCAAGTGCTCTACCCCTGAGCACACCCAGCCCCCAGCTTCACTGTTCTGACCGCACAGCTGAGAGCTGAAACGTTCCCGTTTACACTATGCACTTCTTCTCTCACAGATGTTAAGCTATCAAGGGTCACACACTCCTACACGTTCTTTGTTCAATCACATCACATCACAGAAGCCTCAGTGACTAAGTTTCTTACAGAGGATAACATCTCATAATGCAAAGTGCATTGAGGCGGGCGGGAGGGAGGGGGACGGGAACATGAAAGAGCTAGGATATTATGTGTATGTACCAATTCCCCAGGTTGAATGTAATCATCATGTACTCCAAACATGTACTAATAAAAAATTTAAAAACAGAGTAAATATGCTGCAAGGCCTTATAAAAATTTTTAAAAATATAATTATCACAGGGCTTGAGATTAAGCTCAGTGGTAGAGCACTTGCCTAACACATACCAGGCCTTGGTGTGATCCCTGGCAGCACAAAGAACAAAACAAAAACAAAGAAATTAGCACATTTTCAGTATGTGCTCAATCCTTGGAGGAGGCAACTGCAGCTTTCTCTTGTCCATGTTGCTTTCCCTGTGAAAGCTCCAGCATCTCCTGAAGGCCCAACGGAGCAGGACTGTGCTACCATGGCCTCAGAATCTGAGGATGGTGATGACAATAACTCAAGGGTCACAATAGGACATGGAGGTTTCCTCAGAAAGGAGAGGAAAAAGCAACCTAAGAGGATCAGGAAACATTGATGCCCTAAAAGAACCAATCTTGTGGCTCCAGCTTTAAGCCTGAATGTGGATATTCTGTCTGGATTAAGACTCTTGAAAGGTTCTTTTTTTTTTTTTTTTGTCTTTTTTGAGATACGGTCTCATTATGCAGTTCTGGCTGGTTTTGAACTTACTTTGTAGCCCAGGCTGGCCTTGAACTCACAACAATCCTCCTGCCTCAGCCTCCCGAGTACTGGGATTACAGGCACGCGCCACCACGCCCAGCTTGAATGGTTCTTAAATTTAGTTTTTCTTTCTTTTTTTTTCAGTACCGGGAATCGAACTCACGACCTCTGGCAAGCGCTGTGCCGCTGAGCTAAATCCCCAGCGCCTTACATTTAGGAAGCCCACTTAAATAGCCGCACGGAGTTTGGGGGTTTCTGCCATGCCATGAGTCTGCAGAGCCTGAGTTCTCAGCCCTGCACGCTCACTTGCACAGTCAAGCACGCCGTGCTCTTGCGCTTACCGTGCTTCACCTGCTTAAGCGTGGACGCCACCTGGTAACTGAACACGGACTCACAGAGGAATCTCTCAGAGCCATCTACAAACAAAGGAGGAAAAGGGTTTAGTCTGTTCTAAGGGTTTTATGGCTTCTGATAAACCAGGTAAACCTATGAATTCTTTTCCGTGCTTTTACCTTCAGGCTCTAGTTTCCAGCATTAACAAAGAGATTCTGTTTCATGTAGAACTAACACTGCTCAGTTATAAAAGCTACCTCTGCTATACCTAGAATATTAAAATAGTCCCTCTACTTGTTTAAGACTTTAAAAATAGTGTTTAAAAAAACAAAAACAAGAAACCTCAGACTGATGCCCTGGTCAACATTTCCAATCCTATCCTGACAGTTTCTTCATGTTCTTTTCTTCCGTACATCAAGTAAACACTGGCAGCTGATACATCTGGCCGTGTGACACCTCTGCTATCAAAAACCCAAGGTATAGTACACCGAGACTCCAAACCCTTTTCGTTCTAAAAACAAAGTGAAGGGGAAATGTTGTTGATTTTTAATATATCAAATTACCTCATTATGACTATCACAAAACACTGCTGGGAAATTTCATTCTGTAAACGCAAATTGTAACCTTGATTTTCCAAGTGAACCACAACATTGCAATTTGGCTGATGATAAAGTACGGTGCAAGTTCAGAACCTAGCACTGTCATAGTGCCAAGAACTGCCAACAAGAAGGTGGCCAACTTGGCCACCGCAGCACTTGGGCAATGATTATGCAACAAGCAAGATCATGTTATTCTTCACCAGGCAAAAGCTGGTAAAGCAAAACACATTCCCAAAGAGATATAAATTTGTGCAGGAAAATGTGGCTTTTTAAAGGGCAGCAGAATTCATTTGGGACATGCACCTTATGTAAAAATCCTCAAACAGAGAAAAAGGACACAGCTGTCTGTTTCAAGGAACCAGTTCCTGCCAGCACCGCTAAGTGTCAAGCGTTCAGCCATCAATCACAGGGCGGTATGGTTGCCAGGTATTAACTGACAGGGAGATATGACTAACGTTCTGGCCTCATGCTGAGTTTCACACAAGGCAGACTTTCTTTCAGAAATGACTTCAGAATAGTAATCAATAAGAAAAAGTACAAACATTGTGTCCAAATGGCTTGAATACACATCCAAGAGGGTGTCCTTCCAGTGTTATCTTCGAATTGATGCCTCCCCAAAAGAAAAAGAAATGAAATTATAATTCCTAGGATGTACACTATAAGGAGAATTGGCATTTTTGTTGTTTTTTTTTGAGACAGGGTCTCACTCTGTAGTCTTGACTGGCCTCAAATTCAGTATGTAGCCTATGTTGGCCTCGAACTTACAGAGATCCTCCTGCCTCAGGCTCTTGAGTGTTGGGATTACAGGAATGTACCACCATACCCAGCTGGGAGAATGGTACTGTGCAAATTTAAGCCCCTTTTCTTCATTCTTTCAGTACTGGGGATTGAACCCAGATCTTTTGTACTTCAGGGGCTACATCCCCAGCCCTTAAAAAAATTTATTTTTGAGATAGAGTCTCGTTAGGGCACTAAGTTGCCTAAGTAGCCCCAGACTATGCTTGATTTCACAATCCTTCCACCTCAGTCTGGCAGAGGGCTGGGATTATAGATGGGCGAGCCACCACTCCCTGCTCAAACCTCTCTTTAACTTAAAAAAAGTAATTTTATTCGTACACTTAATCAAACTGCTTTTCTACATACTATGTATCATTTTCAATCTAGCAAATATGTACTGGCTCCCTGGATTCTTTTTTTTGGTTCTGGGATTGAACCCAGGGCCTTGCACACGCTAATCACATGCTCTACCACTGAGCTATACTTTCAGCTCCTTACTGACTGACTAGGCAAGCTGATGACATAACTGAGTTGTTTTCTTTTTTTTAGATACAAGCAAGTGGTAGTACACAACCATGAATTCCACTACAGGACAAGAAAGCCTGACACCAATGATGGCATTTATTATAGCTCTTCAGTGAAAATAATATGCTGGCACTCATTATTCTATCCATATCTTTCCTTAAAGGGTGGAATTGTAACTCGAATTTAATTTTACAAAGAGCAAAGCACACAAAAGTAGAGTTTTCCTCCCAGGTAGTTTGAGCCTGAATTTTAGGATCTCATCTCCAAGGCAGTGGAGTTACAGGCTGTAATGATGAGCTCACCGTGTATATGGAAGCTCCTGGAAGTACTGACTCCTACATGCATGTAATCATGGTACAATCAGGATAAAATGCTCAAGTTTTGACATTTGTACGTGTCCTTTGGTAATGAAATTCAAGGCAAAAAGATGTGTGCTTATCTTTCAAAAGGTACCCACGGACCACCGCACACCACAGGCATCTAGAACACACTTCTGCTGATGTGCAGCTCTGCGTGCACCACAAACTCCACTGCTTCTAGGCCACACCCTATTAGAAGCGCTATCTATACCAATCCAAAGCCCCGAATTTCTCCAGAGGAGTCAGCCTGGGCCAGTCTGTCTTCTACTTAGAAACTGTAATCTAATCCTTTGTAACACACCAAGTAGCAACACGTCAGCTTTCCTCTTAAGGGACAAGCAAAGGTTATAAGTAGTGAGAAATTTAGTAAATTGCTTAACTCTAACACCACAACAATGCCAATAAATACAGTGCTAACAAAATTCACTGAAAAGAGTATTACCTCACAGCAGGGATCAGACAATGCCGGGTAATCAGTGGCGTACAAGGTCACCAAAACATAGCCGCTTCTGGGCTGGGAGGCCGCCCCTAATTTGCTAAGAACTGGTTGAGGGCTGGCAAGGGCAGGAGAATGTTAAAAACTGCTGTTAGTTGTTTACCTGGGGTGTCTGTTACCAGAGAGCAGATGCATCAAAAAATTAATTCTCAAGGTCAACCTCAGGTTATGGGGTTTACTGTCCTAGGATACAGTCTCAAGGGGAACCTGTTACGATCATACATGGCATCCAACTTGATTCCTAACTGCTCGTTCTCCTTATTCTCCACAGGAAACCGCTATTCTATTTTCCCATTCCATTAAACTACAGCAAGAAAAATGGTTTGGTGCATGTGCATTCGACTCACTGTGTAATAGTGTTGCCTACCACATGGTAGAAAATGCTTCCAAATCTAACCACATTTAGGACAGCTACATGGGAGGACAGACACAGTACATGTGCAAGCTGGGCATGGTGGCACACGCCTGTAATCCCAGCACTTGGCAGGCTGAGGCAGGAGGACCTTTTGTGAGTCTGAGACCAGCCTGGGGTACAAAGTGAGCTCAAGGTCAGCCTGAAGTGCATAGCGAGACCCTGTCTCAAAAAGACAAAAGAAAAAAAAAAAATAGACCCATGATATATGGAAATACACTGCGGCTGTATGCAAAACTTGAGCCTCTGTCATTTCAGTATAAATAGGGGTGCAGTGGTGATGTGTGGTGGAAGGTGGTATGAGCCAGTGGTGTTCCTGGAACCAACTCCCTGAAGAGACCAAGAGATGATTTGGCTAAGACAGTTCAGAGGTTCCCTTTCTCCATTTTTTAGAAGCGGTTCTAAGATTATTGGTGAAACTTTAAACCTAAGAATGCACAAAAGCTGCCAGGTGTGGTGGTGCATGCCTGTAATCTCAGCACTTGGGAGGCTAAGGCAGGAAGATCTCTGAGTTCGAGACCAATGTAGCCTACATACTGAGTTTGAGGCCAGCCTGGCCTATATAGTGGGACCATTTCAAAAAACAAAAACCAAACAAAATGCACAGGATCACAACTGTGCACTGCGAATTTAAACTTAAATATAAATGTGTTTTACAACAGAACCCAACACACTCCTCCATGAAGCAAGGGAAATAGATCAACAACTAGAACATCAACAGACCCATCTCCCACGGCTTTCTCCAATGTTTCTGCATATCTAGTGCTTCCTGATGAATGCTGATAGCTCTGAGACTATAGAGGCTCCTGCTGTATTAAAATTCCTCTTGTAGGTAGAATTTAAATGACTTTAATCTTAGGGTGCTACTGTTAAGCACTGATTTCTCTTCTGCTGCTATAAAACTCATTCAGCAATGTAAAAGCTTTCGACTTTTGATTTGTTTTGTGGGAAACTAACTTTTTTTTTTGTCTTCTTGAGACAGGATCTCGCTGTGCAGTTCAGGCAGGTCTTGAGCTCACTTTGCAGCCCAGGGTGGTCTTGAACTTGCAAAGATCCTCCTGCCTCAGCCTCCCGAGTGCTGGGATTACAGGCATGCACTACCACCCCCGGCCTTTTGTTTTTGTTTTTTTGTGGGAAACTTTCTTAATATATCTCTGCTGCACATAACTAAAATAATAATGTATTTTTAATGCCAACTATAGTAAACAAGGCCCTAAAAGTTTTCTCCCTCCAGTCCGACTCAGTAAAACTAACTTTTTTTTGTTGTTTTTTTTTTCCAGTACTGGGAATTGAACTCATGACCTTGCGCTTGCCAGGCAGGCACTGTACTGCTGAGCTAAATCCCCAGCCACTAGTAAAACTAACTTGATTATTCAAGAAACATAAATGAAGAAAATGGAAAGGCAAGGGCAGAAGTTTACATGCCTCATACATATTGCTAATTATAGTCACTAACCTGGTTACCTACTGCTCCCAAGAACCTGAACCAGCTTTTGAGACCCTAACAATCCTAGAGCCCTCCTGTGTTTTCCAGTCACAAATGATTCTTCCGTTTGGCCTGGCTTGCTAGAGGTATAGCTCAGTAGTAGAGTGCTTGCTGAGCATGTGCAAGACCCTGGGTTCAATCCCTAGCACTGCAAATACAAAAAACAAAACAAAAGAATCACAGTGTTTGGTCTGGCTTAACCCCAAACTGCTTTTTATTATACCTGATATAAATGACTAAAGATCACCTCAAAAAAGCTCTTATAGTTTGTGCCTTTTTAAGAAATACCTCCAATGAGTTTTTAACTATGTCATGTAACCAGACTTGGTGGTGCATGCCTGTAATCCCAGCAGTTGAGAGGCTGAGGCAGGAGAAATGCCATGAGTTCAAGGTCACCCTGAACCACAAAGTGAGATACACATATATCTTATAAGTATGCAAGATTTAAAATAAAAAGACAATATATAATTAAACACAAAACCGCTTAACTCAGATTTTTAATTTTTAATTTTTTTTTTTTCCCCCCCTCCGGTACTGGGAATTGAACTTACAACCTTGTGCTTGCCAGGCAGGCGCTGTGCCACTGAGCTAAATCCCCAGCCCCGATTTTGAATTTTTAGTGGGTTCTCTGCTAATGTTTTCAAACGCAGTATAGTGAGATTACCTTCATTAATTGGACCCTCGATAATGGTCAAAAAGGAAGACTGTTAAACTGGGTGTGGGGCTGGGGATATAGCTCAGTGGCACAAGTGCCTGCCTGGCAAGCACGAGGTCCTGTTGATTCCCAGTACCAAAACAAAACAAAACAAAACAAAACAAAACAAAGAAACCCAATCAAAACTAGGTGTGAAGCATATGCTTTTAATCCCAGTACTCTGGTAGTCTGAGGCATGAGGATTGCAAGTTCTAGCCAGTCTAGACCACTCGACAACTAGCAAGACTGTCTCAAAAAAAAAAAAAAAAAATTAGTCTAGCTCCTAGAGTGGTATGAATCTGATGAATTCCAGTTCCAGTTATCAGCGTTGTTTCCTGCCTACTGCCTGCACCCTCATCTTTGCCAGCCAGCCTGCAAATGTGTGCTGAGTAAGACAGTGCGAGACTGGGTGCAAATCTGGCTCCAGGGCTAGAAAAAACACACAGCATCATCCTACAGCAGGGCAGAAGACTCATCTCCACGAAAGCCCGGTGCAGTAGTTTTCACTTCCTCTAAGAACCTCTCTGATGGGGTTAACTGATATGCAGCCTAACTGTAGTAGGAAACAAAGTACATCAAACCTACTAACTATAGGAAGTTGGACAGCTTTCAGGATAAAGTGAAGTGAGAGCAAGAGAATTCCTGTCTCCAGTGCTGATTCTGCCTTTCATGTGGTGGAACCACTTAGTCTTTCTGGATCTCAGTCACTCTAGATAACCTCCTTGATTTCCAAACTCTCAGCTCAAAAATTCCAATTCTGGAACAAGATTTGGTTTAAAGATCTTCTTTGAGATAGGGACAAGAGATGAAATGTGGAGTTGAAATCAGGGCAAACTCATCTCTAATCTACTTAATAGCTTCTTTCCAATTAACATTCATTGCAGGTCTGAGTCCAATTATTCAGCAAAAAGCAGCATGAGATCACCTTCTAGCATCTCCCCAGCTCCTTTAGGGTAGTTGAAAAGGGCTTTCCGTGGTGGGGCGAGGTCCGAGACACTGAACCCGGATCCAGAGACGGAACTCCCACTGACTCCACCAGCTGAGGAGGATGACGAAGATGCAGCCATTTCCCCACAGAGTCCTGACTTCCCTACAGAGAAGGAAGAAAACCAAGTTAGCACGTGTATGGAAGTGAGAGGACAGCACTTCATTCCAGCTGCCATAAGGGCCAGCACAGTTTTGTGAAGAATTAGCCCCACCCACGTTTCTACCCTCTATAGTCCCACAATCTTTTATTCAGGCTTCACGCCTAAACGTCACTTGGGTTTTTGTCACTCAGGGTTTTGAAACAAAAATATGTTGAAGAATAATCTGCCTCTGTAGGACACCACTTCCCACCATTAACAGACTGGTTTTTTTTTTTTTTTTTTTTCCGGTACCAGGAATTGAACTCATGACCTCGTGTTTGCCAACCGGCGCTGGGCCGCTGAGCTAAATCCCCAGCCCCAACAGAGTGGCTTTGTCATCTGGGATTGACTGTGTGTGATTTATGAGATTCGAAGGGTGATATGGCAGTGCCAAAGTGGAAATGTGACTGAGGAACTAAATTACAAGGATAAAACAATCACGCTGCACAGGACAGTTTGTCTTGGATACATCCTGACCAAGCCACACCAAGAAACTGACTTATAAAATTTTCCAAATGAGATTCCAGAATAACATTGTGTTCCCTTCCCTAGAAAGGAAACTGGTTAGGAAATACAAACTGGCACTTTCACCAAGGTTTTTTACCCCTATGTAATACTACAATCAACCACTTGGTGGCGTCCCAAAACTGGAACAAAATAGCTCAGGAAAGAATCTGGGAAATCAAGGCACCTTATGAACACAGCAGCTGCCTAATCCTGTGTCTTATCAAAGAATCTCAATGTAAATGAGGAAATCTTTACTGAATACATGACTTCTTACAAAAGTTAAAAATAACTCTGCCCACAGAAGCTTACAAAGGATTCCAAAGCATACACTTTCCTTTAAAAAAATTTTCCCAAAGTGTATACTTTCAAAAAAAAACAAAAAACCAAAAAAACAAAACTAGCACCATACTAATAAAACTTTCTGCCAGAATGGAAATGTTCTAATGTTCTATTTCTGCACTGTCCAATATGATAGCCACTAGTCTCATGGAGTATAAGTTAGTATGACTGAGCTGGATTTTCTTTTTTTTTTTTTTAACCCAGAATCAAACTCAGAATCTTGTGCTTGCCAAGCAGGCACTATGCTGCTGAGCTATATCCCTGGCTGGATTTTCAATTTTGTTTAATGTTAATAAAAAAATCAATAAAGTGGGCCGGGGATATAGCTCAGTGGCACAGTGCCTGCCTGGCAAACCTGAGGTCATGAGTTCAATTCCCGGTACAAAAAAAAAACTCAGTAAAGTTACATTTTTTTTTTTTGTACGGGGAATTGAACTCAGGACTTTGTGCGTGCTAGGCAGGTGCTTGTGCCACTGAGCTATGTCCCCAGCCCAAGTTACATGTATTATACTGAATAATGGAGTTCTAATATTTGAATTAAAAAAATGACTGCAGCCAGTTGTGGCAGGGGACTTGCCAAGTTTGGACAATATGGAAAGTCCCAATCTCTCAAAAAAAAAAAAAAAAAAAAAAAAGAGAGAAAGAAAAAAAACTTGTATAATTATTATTTCAACGTTATGTGAATTTTAGTCAAATTAAAAAAAAAAACTTAAGGGCTTTGAAATGAATTTCATAGCTGGGGATAGTGGTGCATGCCTGTACCAGCACTTGGGAGGCTGAGGCAGGAGGAGTACCATGAATTCGAGGTCAGCCTGGGCTACATAGTGAGTTCAAGATCAGCCTGAACTACAGAGCAAAGCCCTATTTCTCACACACAAGCACAACACCCACCCCATAACAATAAAATAAATTTTCTTCTAATGATCAGAGAATTTGAGTATTTTTCATTAATGTTTTGTTATTAGTTGTAAAACAAACAGATACGATACAAAATGTTGCTGAGGGTAGGGGAATAGCTCTACATGGTAAGAGTGTGTGCTTAGCATACTTGAGGTCCTGAGTTAAATCTCTAGTGCTTAAAAAAAAGTTAAAACTTGCTTTTCTTTTTTTCTTTTTTTTTTTTTTTTGGTCTTTTTGAGACAAGGTCTCGCTATGTAGTTCAGGCTGGCCTTGAGCTCACTTTGTAGCCCAGGCTGGTCTTGAACTGGCAACCATTCTCCTGCCTCAGCCTCCCAAGTGCTGGGATTACAGGCCACCATGGGTGCCACCATGTCCAGCCTTGAAACTTACTTATTTAAAGTTAGAAAAAAAAAAAAAAAAGAAAAGAAAACAGTGAAGGAATGCTATGCAGATACACATTCTACGCATATGGAACAATTAGTTTCCTAGTAAGGAAAATAATGCACTAGGTCTGAAATGCTGGCTGTAGTTTCTTTAATTTTACGACAGTGATTTAAAGCAGAGAAGCTGAGCTTGGTTTCTGGTTTCATTATACATTCTAAGTAATATTGATTAATACTAAGTGGAATATAGAACTATAACCCTATTGCTATATTTAGACTGGCAGCCTATTAAAATGCAAGTTGATTAACAACATGTTTAATTTTGCTATTATATTATGTTTTCTTTCTTCTCTGAGCTCTGATAACTTTCGAAATTGTATTCATACCCACAGAGGCAGCAATTTTTCAATTTAGATTCATATCCAATTCTTTGGTCCATACTGGGTCAAAATAGCTCAGTTATGTATTTG